TTATATTAATATAAGCATTTAAATTTCATTTAATAGAAGAAATTAGAATTAACTGCAACAATATTGCACTTCTAAGTTAAAAAACTATTTTGTATGTTGGGGACAGTTTTTTTACATGCTTTTATAAATATTTACTTCAAATGCATATCCAAATTATTATTCTATTTAACATTAAATATTCCATTTTGGAAAATAACTTTGAGAGAAAAAAAAAGAAACCAATTTAGTCAATTCTAATAATATTATTGGATCATCAAGGAATTTAGTTACATTTTAATAAAAAACATTTTAAATCACATGCCAAGACATTTTTATGTAAAAATACAGCAATGCAAGTTTCAAATGCATAAAAAAAAAAAGAAAAAAAATTCCATTTTGTCTCAAATAATAGACATGACACATGTCAATATTGTTAAACAATGTGGTCCCTAAAATTGCACGAGTCCATAGATTAGATAAATGACACACAACTGACAGCAAGTGTTTCTAATCTCAGTCATCTCTGGAACATGTTAAGTTTTTACTCATTCACTCTCACATGTTGAAATAATTACACCAGATGCATTAACTAATTAACGGAGATAGAAAACTATCAGGGGGTGGGGGCTGGAGAGAGGGGTTGGGGGTTGAGGGGGAAGGGGGGGGGGGTAACAGTTAAACAACAATTCTTTGATATATATAGAAAGGTGTCAATCGCAACTGAACTTATTCAAATTTTTTACGATTTCTTTTTATTGCTCGCACAAATGACAACACTTTTAAAATTCTGCAAGTAATAGATGACTTTTGGGTAAAGAAAATAATTTTATATTTAGATACACAAAAAAAAACAACAAAAAACAGAGAAATAAAAATTCTATTTTTGATAATGAATTTCCTACTTTTGAAATAACAATAAACATATTTCTTATGTATAGGACAGGTGAAACAAGCTGACTAGAGTCTGATATGTAAAGTGACATGCATAGTTATTTAGCAGAGGATTATTTTTATCATTTTTTTACAACTCAAGATTCCAGGGAATATTAACTAGACAAAATTGAATTGCAATGCTGTAAGAATGCACAGCTTGTAGTACAACATTTAATGAATGGTTTATCCAATACCATGGCTATGATCTAAAATATAAAAGAATATTAAGGGGGGGGGAGGGGGGGGCGTGGAGGAGAGAACCTAATACAATATTGCAATGGATGCAGTACAACATTAAATAAATGGTTTATAAAAAGAGTCTGTGACCATGATCTCATTTTAAAAACAAGATGCTGGTGGGGGGAAGAGAACCTATAAAATATTGCAATGCTCTAAGAATGCAGAGGTTGTACAACAAGGCTGTCATTGAAACATAAAACATCATGAGAACTACTAAGAAGTTCCACTTTTTTTAGGAAATAATGTTAGTGCCTTCAGCACAACAGAGATAATGAAAGGTCAATTAGATCTATCCCTTCAAAACTTTCTATTCTCAAAAAATAGAATTTTGTTACCAACATTTATAACCATTAGACATAGAAATGTGGTATTCAAGTATTAGACACAACAAAAGTTCACTTCTTTCAAGTAAGCAAAATATTAGGTGGCAGGTACCAGAGTTGCATGCTAATGTGTAGAAAAGGAATGATAAATGACTGATACAATTATTTTATTGCTGCACTTACTAATAGCTGCTTACTTGATATCAGATCACGGATAACCAAATCTGATATCAGACCACTGTAATCAAACGTGATTTCAGATCAGATGTAATCAAAGAATATCAGATCACTGGTAACAAAACCTGATATCAACTGCTAATCAAACCTGATATCAGATCGCTTGTTATCAAACCTGATATCAGATCGCTTGTTATCAAACCTGATATCAGATCGCTTGTTATCAAACCTGATATCAGAACACTCGTAATCATCCCTGATATCAGATCGCTTGTTATCAAACCTGATATCAGAACACTCGTAATCATCCCTGACATCAGATCACTTCTAATTAAACCTGATATATGATCACTGATATCCATCTACCATTGGAAATGTTTGTTACATAGTTTCAAATCCAAAAAGATGATTTTCACAGGGAGAAAAATCAGGTAGGCCCATAGAATATCTTCACAATGGGTTAAAAATATATTTAACAGGATTTCAACCACTGGATTCCTCACATTTTTAATTTAAAAGCAAAAATTAAATGAACATTACATACTCTATAAGGCAGGGGTCTCAAACTCAAATCATCCGAGGGCCGCAGGAGGTAGAGTCTGAGCGAGACTGTGCTGCATTAAGTATTGCACACCAAAAAAAGTGATTACAAAGTCAATAAAGTACAACTGTTACAATCTGCTGAACCTTTCTTTATTAATAACAAATAAAACATTAAGGGTTCTCAAGAACTAGGCTTCACTTTCTTCGTCTTACTCCTTGTTGCCAGAGATCTAGCAGCGCTTCTTCTTACACAGCTGAGCAACATTCGACTTGAGTGGGGAAGCAACTGAGACCCTCAGTATTGCTTGAAGATGCTCATCGGTAAGTTTGGCCCAGAACTTTGACTTGTTAAAGTTCATAGTGAAAAAGAGCTTTTCACACAGATCTACTCCCCAAAAAAGGCACATGATACGCTTGAACAACCTGGAAATCTTAGGGAAGGTGGAGGGCAATACTCTCATAAAATATCCATGCTTGTCTGTTTTTCCATTCACCTCCCTGAACTTAGAATTGCACTGAAGATCAATTACCTCCATTTGAAGCACAATTTGGGGGAAACTTTAAGTCTGATTTTTTACACCCGTTTTTACCATTCTAATCAACGTCCAAATCTGTACAAACATAATACAAATCAGAGTTAGACTAGTCAGTGAGATTCAACTGAAACCATCGCGAAGGGTCACATTATAGATATGAGAATGGGGACAACGTGCGGGTGGCATTAACACTAAACTTTGCTGTCATGTAGCGGACTGCAAAATATCGTCTTGCGAGCCACGAGTTTGAGACCCCTGCCTTAAGGTAAATTCAGTCCAATAATTGTATCTTTATTGAAATAATAGTGTGCACAGGAGGGGGGGGTGTTAAATAATTTCATGATAAAATTAATTTCTGTTATAAACTATATATATAAAGCCAAACTTGTATACAAGTCTAAATAAATCTGTAAGTCATAATAAAGCACTTTTTTTTAAAATGCCATGATAATATACATGAACACCCTGCCAATCAAACTAAGGAGGATAAAATCTCAAATGCTGCTCTGGGAATGGTCACAATGTGTCTGAGAGAGAGAGAGAGGAAACAAAAAAATCAAAGCATGAAATGATTTTTTGATTGATACAGATGTGACGATGGCACAAAAGAGATGAAAATGGTGCAAAAGATGTGAAGATGGTAACATATTTGATGTCTGACTACAGAGAACTTCAAGCTACATCCATGATGATGACATGCACCACACAAAAAAATGGTTATCATCTCTTTATATTATAATTTAACAATCATGAATGAAGAGTACCAAAATATTATGTGTGCAATTATTTCTATGTGGAGGGTCAGTACAAGAATTACAGTTTCTGAAGCCTTGTGCCAATCATATGTGAAATAAAGCAAGACTGCATCATTCTTCATTTAGGTTATGATAATAAAAGCCTAATTACTTATACATTCCCATTCCATTTTTGTACATTCAAATGATTAAAAACACAGAAAAGGAGAGAGAAAAACCCTACTCTCTAAATATTTAATGAATAGGATTTTATCTACCAAATTGATGCACTAGAGACCGTACCCTGTTACTAAACTGAACTTTGTAAGTTCACCGCGATGAATTATATTTGGTTCCTCTCCTAGGTAAACATCTAGAGGCCCAGCGTGACGAACATGCTAACAAAATTTAAATAGTCTAAATAGGAGCTTAAATGATTTACTTTTTTTTCTATTCATCTCCATCCATCCATCCCTGTGGCGCTACAGCCCATGTAGGGCTTTGGCCTGCCTCACTACTTCCTTCCACTCAGACCTAACTAATGCCTTTCTTTTCCATGCTTGGACTTTCAGCTGCTGTAGATCTTTTTCTACATCATCTATCCACCTAAGCCTAGGTCTGCCTTTGAGCCTTTTTCCTCTGGGGTATTGGTGATGTACCCTCTTCGTTCCTCTGTCATTTGGCATTCTCTCTAGGTGTCCTGCCCAGCGTAGCCTGCCTCTTTT